ACATAGTACTGCTAGTAAGCAAGAGTTGTCGAAGCTAGGTATTTAGTTAAAGGGTATAGGAATTTGGATTAACTTAATATATATGTCAAGCTTATCAGTGGATTAAATGGAAGATGTGGATGTTAATGTGGTGCTCTATTTTCAACGAAGAAAGAAGTAAAAAGATATCAGCTTGTTCAACATTAAAATTAGTTGTAAAAAAAATTGTGGATCAAGTTAACTATTCCCCCCCCCCCCCACTATGGTACCTTATAAAGAATCCCCCCCTTATAAAAACACATTTCATTTATGCTCAACTGGATTGGCTTTGTATTTCTCACAAATGTGTTCTGTCGCATTCCTTTTGGTTGGCGTTATTTCAATTCGCATTCCTATTGGTTGACGTTATTTCAATAAATTTCATCCAAACCTTGTTAACTATCCCCCCCCCCCCTATTGCAATAGGGGGGAATAGTTAGCATGATCCAAAATTGTAATTGTCTATTCAACATTGAAATTCAAGTATGTGTTTCTTTGTTTTTGTGTGGGGGCGGGGGGGCTTGCTTATCCTGGGGGCGTTCAACAGTGCCGCAGTACAACAGTGCCGAAAAAGGCGGGAGAATTTCAGAATAATTTAAACGCATTTTCTAAAGAGCGGGAAATTACTGACGCTAATTATCAAAGAAAATCGCCCCAATTTTAGCGCCAAAATGTCTGCAACTGCAAATTAAACAATTTTTTTGGGGCCAAAATGTCTAAATTGCAAATTTTCTTGCTCAAAATCTTTAAGTGTCACTTAAGGTTATAAAGGTTCGTCGTTTAATTTTTGATTGCCGCACTTAATATGCTGAAACTTGTTCATTTTTCGGCACTGTTGAACTAAGTTTTCATTTTCGGCACTGTTGAACTAATTTTTTTATCGGCACTGCTGTACTTCGGCACTGTTGTACTGCCTCCTTATTCTCATGCTCACAGAAGCATCAATAGTGTGGTGCAATAGCTGTTTTAATAGGTTAGACGGAGGTTGAGAAATTAGACGATAAGCAAATCAGACGGAGGTACTTAAAAGGAATATAGACGATTTTGCAAAACTGCAAATGTGAGAAAATAGACGAAAGTGCGAGAGATTAAAATTGGTGGAATCCCTCATACATGAAGGACCGAATGTGCGAAATTAAAAATCAGCCAATCAGATTTCAGTAATCTAGAATTTGCAAAGAAATTCCAGGGACTAGAATATTGATATTGGCCGAATATAAAAACGGCAGAAATATGCAACATTTCCAAATTGTCATTGGCGCCGCCGAATTGGAACAAATTTTATAATTCAAGAGTTTCGTTATAAAAGAAGCGATATATTGATTCATTTAATTGAATGGCAATTGCTTCTTTTTAAATTTTGACTGTCGGCTAATTTTATTTTCGGTCATTAGCTCAGCAGTTTTTTCGCGCATTCGGTCCTTCGCGCATGAGAATAGCCCCCATTAAAATTGCTTGAGAAAAATATAACTGTTTGTACGCATTTTACGCTTCCAATTATCAACCGTTATCAAGTCGGAATATTGTTTGTACGAATATAACAGTTAAATTTCGGTAGCCAAAGTCAATCATGCATAATTTATTCAATTTATAACTATCTTGTAATATTCGGATTTGACATCGTTTTGTTCATTTAAACTAATTGTTTTGATAGGTGTTGACATTTTATGTTCTTTGTGTATTTGTGAAACTTGACTCTTTAGAAAAAATTTTGTTAGCACTTTCCTTGTCATAGCTTTTTTTCGTCTAAAATGACAGATCTGTATAAAAAAATTCTGTCTACTTTCGTTTTTGTAGCATCCGTCTAATTTGATTATCGTCTAATTTCCTAGGCCCCTGGTTGGACATGAAGATCAAACGGTTTTGGAATTGCCGAATTCTTATAACAATGGGAAATTATTTTAACAATCTTACCAATTCTTATGGCAATTGGGCATTTCGAAAAGTTTTAAAAGTAGAAATTTTGCTGATATAGGTGAAAAGAATAAAAACAGGCCCTTTTGTTAACCAGAATAACTTTTCAGTTCGTGCAGCCTAGTGGAAACTTTCACTTTGTTTTTATGAAACTAATGAAGACTTTTTTGGAAAGCGAGTAAGCTATTTAAGGACGTTTTGAGATCTATAGATCACTGGCGCCGCTTTTTTTCTCTTATTTTACGGGGAAACAGAAATACGAGCACTTATTTAAATTACAGAATATTTTTAAGGCAATGAAAAAGAAAGCAAGCGTTCCGCAAGGTACCTTTTCAGCAATTGGATTTTTCGAACAAGTGTAAAATTTAAATAGGCTCTTAAAATTTTACTTGTATGATGTTAATCACTTAAATTAAGCAATACGATAAATTTTCTGAAAAAAAAACGAATAATTGAATCGATTTAAATTTTACTAATAACTATATTTCTGCCCTAAATCGAGTTGGGGGGTTTTATAAATGATCAGTAACATACCAGACAATATCAACCTATATTTAAAAATAGAAATTCATTTGATATTGTTTTCCTATTTTTTTTTTTACTAAAAGAGAATAAAGCAATTGAATTTTTTTTCGATTCCAAAAGTTTCGGTGAATTTAATATTTGAAAATTAGAAATGATTTGTGGTTCAATGGTCACTGTGGGTTCTGCGTTCTTCGAAGCTCTGGGTTGCAGTTCTGATGTTTTTTATTAAGTGTTTGCGTTCTTTCTTCTTTCTTCAGGTTTTTGTTGTGAAATTAGGTTTTTCTTTTTTCAAATTCTCAAGTCTAGCGCTGTAATGATGCCTAAACAAGAAGCAGAATTTTGTTTTCATCTTATATAAACGTTTTTACGCTTCCAATTACCAAGCGTTATCAAGTCGGAATATAGACTTTTGTCGGGTGTTGTTGATGGTATCTGATTATTGTTTTTCTATCCGTTTTATCGCCTCAGTTGTCACATCGAATTTTATATGCTGTGTGAAGTTTTCATTGTTCCTGCACACATTGTTTTGAAATTGAATTTACTACCCCAGACATTTTTTTTTTTCGATTATATGCTTCTTTCGGTCTGAATGGTTTCGGCGTATGTTTTATCGGCTAAGTGACCCAATTTGCGTCGTTTGTTGAGAAGAAAAATTATCACGCCCCGCCCTCCGGAAAACCCAAAAGGAAAGAACTTGGGTTAACATGGTAGCTGAAGTATTTTTATGACAACAGTTATGCTTTGACTCAATCGGATTTTACCCAAGTTTTGTTGGCCTACTAGCAGTTCGAAAAAGGTTTATGAAAATGTATTTGACATCAGTATTGTTTTTTTCTGGATGTCATTTTCTAAAATTGAATATCTTTGATGGAAAATTGTGAAATATTTCTTCTGGTCATTTTGCGGCTTTTTGGCTTTGGTTTCATCTTTTTTCTGCTAGCTTGCAATTTTGTTTTTGTGGCGTTGCAAGTGGTGTCAAGCTCCACTTCGCCTCAGTATTAAGATTTTTTTTTTAAAATTGTAGATATATAGCGTTAAAAACGTATAAATAAGTGTTGATGAACTAAGTGCAGACATTTAATTTGTTCATTAGCATTAAAAAAATTGTTCGCTTAAATATAATTTTATGTTTGTTTTTTGATTAATTTTTAAGTCCAATTTCAACTCGTTCGCTTAATTGAAATCAAATCATGCTCTCAAATAAAGAAAGCCACATAGTGCGCAAAAATGTTATCTATACTATATTTCAATGCATGTGACAGGTATATTGCCTAGTTTAAGAGTTTTGTTGCAACAGGTAAGGGCATAAAGTATATATGCGTGGTTAAGCTATATCGTTTATTGCAATGCGGAAGATTTTTTTTCGATTTACAATTTGAATCTAGTGTTTTACAATTTGAATCCTTTTAGTGTAGATAAGACGATTTTTGTGTTTTATTCAAAATTTTTCAGAAATCTTCAATTAAAAAATTTTGTCGAAATTTGAAATTTCCACCATTGGAAGCTGTCAGAGATTTCTCTGGGGGTTGCACAAATGTTCCCTCCAAATATGGACACTCAAATCTTCTTAGTTTTTGAGATATGAGGGTTTTTGTCATTTTTTCAAAAAAAAATTCAGCTAACTTAATTTTTTTTTGGTTTTCAAATTTCAATTGAATTTTGAAGCCTTCTTCCTTGTAATGGGGACAGGGGAATGTCGGAGTGTTTTCAGGGGTTGCTTATTTGTCTCCAAATATGACTGCTCAATTCTTTGTAGTTATCGAGATATGACCTTTTTTTCGAATTTTTCAAAAAAGTTTTCGAGGAAACTTAAATTTGTTTTTCTTCAAACTTTGAAATTCCCAACCTTTTAGTTGGGTGCTACCAGAGTACTCGAGGCGGCGCTACATATGACTTATCAGGATATTTTTAAGTTTCCATATGCAACGTTTTTATGGTTTTTCAATTTTTTTTTTCGAAACCTAAATTTCAAGTTTTTTCCTAATTAGAATTTCCTAACCTTATCGTTGGGTACTGAGAGAGTGCTCTCAGCAGTTGCAAATTTAGCGTCCAAATGCGACTGCTCAAATGATTTTAGTTACCAAGATGTGACGTTTTTTATATGTCATTTTAAAATTTTTCAAAAAAAACTTAGATATATAAATTTTTGTTTTGTTTTCCTCAAAATTTGAATTTTGTTTCCCCGGAGTTGCGTTACACGCTAGTTGATTCATTATTTCGAATGTGAAATTTTGTTCGATTTCACTTCGAAATAAATTTAATCAATGATCTGGTATGTTTTTCATTGCTCCACTTTTTTGAAAAATGAATCAATCATCTAAGATTTTTGAAAGTCCGAGAGCTTGAAAGTCCACCAGCCGTCATCCTAATAAATGAAAAAGATAGCATTTTTTTGGCAAAATTTTAGCTACTAGCATAATTTGCTGCTCTTGTAACCATGGGCAGATACTTTGTGTATTTTAAATGAATATTTTTAAATGGGTTCATGATAGTGAGGGATGATGTCATAATCTAAATTGCTATGGCAATACAATTGTTTTTCCCAAATTCCTCGCTGTGATTGTGTGTTTTTATCTCGCAGTTGAATGTACTATGGTCCAGCCGTCAATTATAAGTCTGGGCTGACCATTCAGCAGTTCCAGCGCTCCTCTTGATACCTTGGGATTTTAGGTGCGTATCAAGTTAAATAATGTGTTCCCATTTGCCATTCTGCTCTCGCTATTTTGAGCTAGACTAACCACTGTGACTGAAAATTAGATTCTGACCAATGAGAATTTTGTTTCTTTTTTCTGCATTGTAAATAACACCATTTCAATTATCGAATGAATAAACTTCTTATCTTCTTGATTCAACTGAATACTTTTCCTCCAATACCGACTAAAGCGCACATTTGGCGTAGCTATTTTTATATTCAGCTTGTTTGCTATCAATAGGTAATTTGTAGGATATATTTTGTCTGAAAGCTCATTTTATCTTGGAGCGGTTTAATGCGACCATATAAGTTCTATTTTCCAAAGAAACTGGCTCTAATTCCGAATATCCGAGGGATAAAAAAGGCTCATCTACTGTACTGTCTTTTTACTACCACTGTTAGCGAACCGCTACGAGTTAGATTTTCCATTATTCATAGTATACCACTGTATAAGCATTTTAAGTTTTTCTTAAAAAAACTAAGCTATCAAAGAAACATTTTCCTGGCTCCATTTTTTCTTTAATTTTTATTTTCTTAAATTTATTAATAGAGATGCATCTGTGACGCTTAGTTTTGCAACAATATTTATGTCACTTGAAATTGAAGGGAAATAGACTTTTTGAGCAAAGTACTTACCAGTCCGATTTTTTGAACAGCAAGTTTATTAGTCCTTGACAATTTGTCTCTGAAATCTGAAAAGATTTTAAATTCCCATCTGCCGTAATTTTATTTAATTATCTGATTTACCCTGAAAAGCAGTCCTTTTTTCTGTCGCTACTGTGAAATGAACTAATTGAATCAGTTAGAAGCCAATATTGAGGAGAAATTAGAGAAGTTGCGAAATAAAGGCGATCAACTTTCGAGCGACCCCAGCATAAACTTCACTTTACGATCGGCTTCCTAAAAAGGTTTCCCTCTTTGTTGAAAGTAATAATTGATGATAAAGGCAACTTCCTTGGCACACCATCAAAACGCGTTATAAACCGGCTATAAAGTCCTTATCTTGCTCACATTCACCGCTTCCCCGCTTTTTAAGTGCCGAATTTATAAAATTTCCCACCCGTTTAAGTTTCGTTTTTAATGACGTGAAATTTTTTAAAAGTTTATCTTCTCAATTTAAATTAGAACTTGAATCGACTATTGAAGACAATTTTGATTTAACTATTGGGAATCCATTCTTTTATTGCAGCGTAATTGTCGGAGGCATTTTGAAAGGTTTCAAAATAGCTCTCTTTAATGTATTATCGTTAGCAGTTTAACATTTGGATGTAAATATTTTTGAAATAAACTCAATTGTGGTTCAAAATAGCTTATTATTTGCGGTCCCAAAAAGAATACAAGAAAAAAGAAGACTTACTCGAACGAAAGTAGTTTATTCACGCAGAGCTGCTCGGGTTTGAAATGGATTCGAATGTCACTGAAAACCCAAAGGAGATAAGCCCGGAAAAGCAAGATTTCTACGATTTTCTTGACGAAGTGAGTGTAATTTAGGAGGGAATAGAGCCGTCAGTTACTTGAAGTTCGTAATTTCTTTTTTTTCGGAAGTCGAAAAATTTTTTGGCAGCAGCATGAAACTAAGAAAATGGGATGCTATTTTTTTGGTCGTTACAATGATTATTGTGCCATCAATTGGGTTTTTTTATCGAAGTATAATTGTGAGCTGCTATTCAATTCAACAGCATCAGCATGAAACAAATAAAAGGCAATGAAAAATTATGTTTTATAACGAAAGATCAATCAAGTGAAGTTGCGGTTATTATTTTGGGTCAGATTTCGTTGGATTTGTTTCAAGTATGTATGCTTCATCGATTCTTAGGATGGCTTCAAGTCTGATTCTGTTTAGTTTGACGTCGTGGAGCTAGCCTTCTACTGGGGCCTCATCCTCCTCGGCATCCCCTGCAACATCATAGTGTCTGCCCTCATCATCATTCGCAAGCGACTCCATGGTCATGCATACCAACTGATTATAGTGGCCATAGCTATGGCCGACATAGTAGTCCTGCTCTCAGTGGGACTCATGGACTCAATTACATTACTGCACAGGTGGGGGAAAAGATGGCCAGTCTGGATGACTTTCCACTGCATGTACTTGCCAGTGATCGAGTTCACTTCAACCATCGCATCTGTCTGGTGAGCCAATTTTTCGATTACGAAATCGAAAATCGCGAGAACAAAAAACATGAAAGATTTTTCTCAAAATGTGGTAATTCTATCGAAAAAGTGGCTACCATTAATTTTTCATGAAGCTCAATGGTTCTTTTCATGTCTTTTTTTGAAGTTCGAAAAATGAAGTTTTCCAAAAAACAAGTCAATCGATTTCCCTGCGCTCATTGACTTTTTTCCAACTGTCTCTTAGCTATGGTTTTTAACGTGCTGACATTTTATCAAGTTTTTGCACGAAGTGAATTTATTAAATAATGATGTTTGAGTGATGGTTTTTCGGAAAACATTTTGTTGCAACTGAGTTGCCTTTTTTGATGTTTCACCTTTTCTAAGTTCTTAAATTCATTTAACGAATGTTACGAAGATCACGCATATGGCGCCACAAATCTCCTTCATATTTAGGTTCAGTTGCTGAATACTGAGTGGAATGAAAAATTTACCAAGTGATCCTGCTTCTGAAATAGGATTCTTTGCATTACGAAAATTTAATCACAGAAGATTTGCGAACTTGAAAGAGCTTTGAAGTTATTTTTTTAGTTTGGAAAGTTTTCAACAAAATTCAAAACAAATCAGTAGTTTTTGAGTTAACTCGAACTCATTAACTTTTTTCAATTGTCTATGGGTTTAATTTTCGTCTATCACCGGAATTATTCTATACAACAATTTTGTCTTTATTTGGTAGTCCTTTTCCACTTTCTTGCTATATAAAGAATCTCAAATTGATCTTTTTTGTAATAATATAAATAGAGTGCGAATAAAGTAACTGTTTTTAGTATACTTGCAATTAGCAAGCTCTATGAAGGCGTAACATTACCTTTTTCTCGTTGATAACTAGTCTAGCAGAAACATCAAATCATTTGGTAGCTGGATTTATGATCAGTTAAAGTTCAGCGTTTTCATCTCCACATGTGGCGCAGAGGGTTGAACCCGGTCATGGACTGATCTTTTTGCTAACTGAAAATTTTTTAAATGAATAAATAAGATTAATTGTCGGTCAGACTTTTCCCTGCTCGTTTTTTGTCTTCTTAGTGTTTACAGCGTCGACTTAATTAAGATTTCATTTATTTTCACTTTAATTGAAAACCTTTTTGATTTATGCATGTAATGATACGGGTCATTGATTCCCTATAAAGTAAATTGAAATTTAATTTTTTTGTCAGTTTACGATTTAAGGAAGTTTTTTTCATGCTCCTTCAAAGAGATCAGTCACAAGAATTAAGCCGTGTCTCATTTTTAATATTACGCATGTGATCATAATAACTTGAACAATTTTTTCGAAATGTTTCAATATGGAAGAATCAAAATAGCCAAAACCTGAGAATTTAAAATTGTTTTTTTTGTCACTGGTAACCTATTCTCAAATTTTTTGTTGACATGATAGAATAAGTGGAAAAGTATGTGATGCCGCTTTCGTGACACCTCATTTTGCCTAAAAAATAAAACAAGCTTGGTGTTCGGAAAAAATTTAGGACTTTTCAATTTCGTGTAACATCTTTGAACACAGCGCTGTTTTGAAATCTGAGATGCAAAATTTGATTTTTCTTTTTTTTCACCTCTATGAGTGTGGCCTCATATTACAGTATTGACGTAATGGTTGTTATTTTGAGTTTATTTTCAGTCAATTTTGCGTCTCATGAGAATGGCAAAAAGTTTGGGAAACAGTTATTTTCATTTTGTTTTTGTGGAACAAGCTTGACTACCGGCTTCACTTGTCTTTGTGTTATCGATAATTTCAGAATTTAAATAACCCCCTCTCAAATTCAATTTTTTCCTGTTCTTGCAATAGTTTTGGCAAGTAGGGTGTTTATATGGCTTAACGGGTGGTTGGAATGTCAAATTGTACGACCTTGAAAAAGACCGAAAATTGATTGCACGAAATTTCTGTAGTTATGTTCGATAATATGATTTTGTTTCAAGTTAATTCTTTTCCCCTGTTTACACTAGCGTCAACTTAGTGTATTAATATGAACCTTCCTTTTTTCTAATCTAACTCGCAAATGTTGGTGCCACTTTTGGGGCACCTTTACAGCTTTTAGATAGTATGCGCTTTGATATTCGAATAGTAATAAGTCAACACAGTTGATGTGTTATAAGTTCATCAAATGAACCGAAAAAAGTGATGTGTTGCTTAGTTTCACAATTTGGTAGCATGTGTTCGATTCGATACGGTTTATTGGTGGCAGTTGCTTACATCCTGCCAGCGCACATGCCGGAGATGGCAGGACGTTACACTCGTATTCTCTTGGTCGGAGGTTCGAGTCCCGCCGAAGTTGCGTTTTGTGCTATGACTTTCTTGAATTCCTCTTTTTTTGTTTTGGAGCTACTTTTTGCCATTTTCTCGATTGTGTTCGCGAAGTGCAGCTTCGCTTCTGTCTTAAAACCTCATTTAAGCTATATATATATATAACTCAATTGTTCAAATTTAATTTCAATCAGTTCATATTCGTATTACTTTTTAAAATCTTATTATGTGTAATCCTAACACAGTTGAGTGCTTTTATATCGAAAATTCATCCGAATATTTATTCGAAAATTAACTGTCTGCATTGCTTGCAAATTAAGTATAACGTCCGTTGAATCCAAATTGTCGGAACTTCTTTGCTGCAAACTGGCACCTATTTGTTCTTGTGCAAAATCAGACTTCCTAATTGGCTTTTTTTATCCTTGAAATTGAGTTCGTTAAAATTAATTGATAGCTTTTGTCGCATATATCTTTGTTTTCGTCTTGGAATTTCGAAAGCATATGTATTGTAATTGGGCGTTTTTCTGTTGGTAAATAGCTTTGATTAAAGTAAGATCTCTTCTGCTGTCATGGCATACATTCAGCCGATGCAAGTATATGATATTAGTATATTTCAAATGAACGTTGCTTTCGAAATTATAAAAAAAAATCACAATTTTTTAATGAATATTTTTTTCTATATTTCCTCCAGAAAGCGCACGTTTTCCCTAGAAATCGGTCAAGTCCTCAGCCTATTGCAGACTTTCCCTGGAATTTGGTCAAGTCTTGCGGTAATTTTTAAAAATGTTTTCGTGCTGAGACCTCATTTCAAGTGCTTAAATTCGATTTGTGAAAGCATATTTATAACGATATTGATGCTCTCTCTAACTTGCAAAAATTGTGGCAGCATGAACAAGTGAAAAATTCCTAAATTATTTCTGCAGGCAAAATGACCTTTTTTAATAATTGTTTTAACCTAGCGATAAACAAGGGTGTTGCAACCGGGTACTAGATTTTTCTTCCGTTTGAAAAATGTTTATTGAAAAATTGGAAATGTGAGTTACTCATGTACCTATACTGGGCTTGTGCTTCATTGCTATGCAGGCGGTACATTCAAGATTTTGCTATGTGATTTTGTCTTAGCGCTGCCAGAAATTTGCAGCTTACGTTTTCCCTCCTAATTCACGGTCGTTATTAATTGATGTTGATGTAATTTTTTGGTTCAATAATTTTTAGGTTCTTGAAATTTCATTTTTTTCTTTTGATTTTTTTGGCTTAAAAAGTTACGGCTTTGGCGTCGTTTGATGCGCGAAAAAGTTTTCGTGTGCCTGTGTTTGTTATAAGGGGAAGGGGAACGTTGATTTTTTCGATTTGCTTTGAATTAAAAGAATTTTGGCGTGAAGAGTTTTTTCGGCTTTGTCACCACCTGTTTATTTTGTTCGCATGCTGATTATGCATTCTATTGTTAGGGCAGATTTTTTGAATAATATTTGTTCATTTTGATAGATCTAGTTGTATCCTAAGTGGTGCAAAGCTCAGCTTCGCCTCTGTGTTTTAGTTTAATTCCTACTTTGTTCTTTGAAGCGATGAAAGTCTTAGGCAATTTAATTGGATTAAGAAAGGAATACGCGATCTCAAATAAGGAATTCTGTCTTGAAAGTTTTTTGATTTAAAATGTCACATTTAATATTTTTCCGCTATAATTGCAGGTACAATTTTTTTAGTTTTTGTACATTTTTGTGCTGTGTTGAGCAGAGTTATTTGATTTCAAGTTTTTATAAAAACATAAATTTCGTTCATCAAGAAAAAATGAAGTCACATCTTTTGGACCACATGGCTTCTGTACAATTTTTTGGCTTCCTTGTTTGTTGGGACGGTGTTTTTAGTTACGTAGTGTCCTAGTTTTGGTTAAATTCGAGACTTTTCCTGTGAACAATTTTTTTTACAATGTTTGCTCAATTTTGCTGACGTGCTCAAATTCTTGACAATTCAAATAAAGCTATCTGTTGCTTCAATTGAGGTAGTGTTTAGTTTTATAAGATTTATTTTGAAAAAAAAAGTTTTTTTTTGGATTTGTGGTTTTCGCTCTAATTTCTGTCGGCAGATTTTCCGTTTTTTTTTTTTACAATTTTTGTTATCTGGTACGATAATTTTTTTGCAAAGCTTAGGTTTTCGAATTTTTCATTCCAGTAGTTTTTACTATAATTGAAAGCTGTTCTTGTGTTTGTAAATATATCTACTTTTCATTCAATTTTTTCTGTTCAGTATCATTATCTTGCAATGCTTTTTTTAAGTGTATCGTAAGTGTTGCTGAGTTGCGCTTCGTATTTGTCTTTAGAATTTAGTGTAAGATATTAACTCATCGAATTTGTTCAAGTTACTGGCTCATCGACTTTAGTTTTTAGTTTAAGAATGGATTTTTTAAAATTTGACCTGATAATTTTTGTTTTTGACATCATTTGATGTGTTTAAAATTGTGACATGCGATAAGCAATTGTTTTCAAAGCGAACTTATACTTTTGTAAGGTTAATTTTAAAAAAAAATAGTGTCAGTGATTCATCAATCTGCTTGCGTTATTACTTTTGCTAGAGCAAATTTCTTGTAATCGTGAACTAGACTTTTTCCCCGTAGACAACTCTTCATACAAACTCTTCTCTTCTTTGTTCACTTTTTCTTCTCCCCTTTTTCAAATTTGGTTTTCCTAATCGATGAATATCTATACGCGGTTAATGTAGTCCAATTGAA